CGGATTGCATGTCTTTGTGCTCTGCGCCAGCTCGCACCGAATTCGGCCGAGAAGAGGACAGTGATTGATGTGATTTCCATTCGAGATGTGGTTTCGGTTACGATTGTTCGGTGGATTCCAACAACTCACACGATTGCAGATGGGATGACCAAAGAAGATGCCAAGCTGCGCAAAACGCTTACTCTGTTTCTGGCCGACCTGGTGCTATCGCTGGTGGAGTCAATTTCGTGTGAAGAACTGAGTGTGGAGATGGTCTTCACCAACGCAAGTAATTTATCGTTCGTGCTGGGAATCACGTTTCACTCCCATCAGTTTGGGTTTGCCCAGGAAGTTGAGTGTTTTTTTTTGGTTTGGTTCATCTTATATCAGTCGTTTCCCGACTCGCGGCGACCTTTTCCATATCAGCATTTGGTATTTTCCATATCAGTCGCGTCGCGACCACGCTCTCACGCCTTGCCCGTAGGCTGGTGAAACAAGTAGTTTATGAACCGGACCAGAGAGAGCGTCGGGAGTGCAATTGTAATTGTATTTATGTGCACTTTCTCGTTCGTGCTAGTGCCGCTGCTGCTCTCACCCCTCGCGCCTGTCATAGATAGTGTTGCTAGAGGGGGTCCCCTGTAGCTGCTATGCGGACTAATACGTTGCAGTGCCCGCGAGACGGTCATGGAAAAGATATGCGAGCCATCGGCGCCTGCGTGTGCGCTGCACCCGTCTCTGCTCTCGTGCGCCTGGTGGCTCGGAGGAGGAGGAGGAGGAGGAGCAGGAGGAGGAGGAGGAGGAGGAATAGGAGTAGGAGGAGGAGGAGGAGGAGGAGGAGGAGGAGGAGGAGGAGGAAGGAGGAGGAGGAGAGAGGAGGAGGAGGAATAGGAGTAGGAGGAGGAGGAGGAGGAGGAGGAGGAGGAGGAGGAGGAGGAGGAGGAGGAGGAGGAGGAGGAGGAGGAGGAGGAGGAGGAGGAGGAGGAGGAGGTGTGCGAACCCCGAGGCCGACAACGGCGAACGTGTTTTTGCAAGGCGTTGGATGCCCTGGGGTGCGGCGTGAAAAGAGCGCGGCGGGCGGCCTTGCTCCGCCTCGGCCCCCGGGGCCTGCGCGGGTCGACCCGGCCCAGAAAAGGGTCTGCGCAGAGGTGGGGGCGGGAGCTCCAGCCTTAGATCGGGCATGTCCCTCTACAGGAAGAGTATTCAGAAACAGATCGAAAGTAGTCAGGGGACGATTTTTGGTCAATTCTCGAACATTTTTGACGATGTTCAATTTTTTGCCCAACATCCGCCTGTAGGGGGACATGCCCGACCTAGCTTTAGACCGCGATGTGCCCACGGCGTTGTATTTTCGATGGCCCTCAGACGGTGTGGTGACGTCACCGTGTGGTGAGTCAGTGGGGATTCGGGGTGACTGCGCACTATCGCCGCCCACTCCCTCTTCTGGAGGCGCAGACAGTGCGTCCTCCCACGGGAGGTGATTCTCCCGGCGACTGATCTCACGCGTAGAGTTCCTGACCATGTTGTTGATACTGCATGTGCCTACCTCGGAGAGCCACCTTGCTGGCAACATCGGTTCCCAGAGTGGGAATGCGCAGAGCCCGGGCAGCCTGCGGGCCCGGGGGTGCTGAAGCGAGAGACCAAGTTGTACATACTACCACACTACATATCATTTGCTGCAAGCTTTTCAATCGAATGTGGGCGGCGTGGAGGCGACCCCCCATTTTTAAAACGAACCGCCTTTCAGCTTCCTTGTAGCTGTTGCAAACTTTGAAGGCGAATGTGCGTGGCGCTAAGACGAGATCACAGGTTAAAAAGCAAACGCCCTTCATCCTTGTAGCAGTTTGAGGTTTCAAACTTCAGACTTCCTTATCGTAAGTTGTAGTGATTTCTCAGGCGAAGCGATCCGCCTACCCTGCCGACGCGTCCTGTTGTGCGGCAGTGAGGAGCTATCTAAAAGGAACATGGATGAGAGAGGAGCAGGAGAAGGTTTTGGAAAAAGGGGGATAATGATACTGATAACGATACTGAATATGATCATGCCAACGATAACGATCATGATGCGAATGCCTGTGTTGACTATGCTTAGGATGCTGATGATGAGGATGATGATGATGATGCTAATGCAGATGATGATGATGATGATGATGATGATGATGATGATGCTGAGGCTAATGATGGTGATCATGCTGATGCTTGTGTTGCTGATGATGATGACGATGATGCTGCTGATTATGCTGATGATGCTGCTGATGATGCTGCTGATGATCATGCTGCTGATGATGACGATGGTGATGATGATGATGCTGAGGGTGAGGGTGAGGATGAGGAGGAGGATGAGGATTACGATGAGGATGAAGAGGGGGATGAAGATAAGGTTGATGATGATGCTGATGATGATGCTGATGCTGATGCTGATGCTGATGCTGATGATGATGATTTTGCTGCTGCTGATGCTGATGCTGATGCTGCTGATGATGATACTGCTGATGATGATGATGCTGATGCTGATTATGATGATGATGCTGCTGCTGCTGATGATGATGATGATGATGATGATGATGATGATGATGATTATTCTTATTATTAGTTTAAAGTTTTTTTATTATTAGTATCAGTATTATTATCATTATTATTATCATTATTATGATTCTCCTTATGAGGAGGAGGAAGAGGAGGAGGAAGAGGAGGGCGAGGACGAGGCGGCAGAGGAGGAGGAGGGGAGAAAAGGAGGGAGGGAGGGAGGGACGGAGGGAGGGCGGGATGATGACGATAAGGAGGAGGAGGAGAAGCAGGAGTAGGAGTAGGAGGAGATTGAGGAGGAGGAGGAGGAGGAGGAGGAGGAGGAGGTGGAGGAGGAAAGGGAAGGTGGAGGGAGGGGCGGAGGGGAAGGATGGGGAGGTGGAGGAGAATACGAGAGGCATGGGTGGGAGGAGAGGGAGGAGGAACAAGCAGTTAATGAGGGACGGAGGGAAGGAGGAAGATGAGGAGGAATATGAGGACGGAGGAAGAGGACGTAGAACTCTTCCTGCTGCTGCTGCTCCTCTTCCTCCTAGTCTTTCTCCTCCTTTCTTTCTCACAAAAGCGTCCCGCGGCGCCCAAAACAAACACAGTTTGTTGACGTATCTGTCACCTGGTCTGCGGAGGAGCGTTTAGTGTTCACCGTGGAAAAAATCATCTTCGTCTGCGTCCTTGTCCTCGTCGTCGTCGTTGTCGTCCTCCTCCTCCTCCTCCATTCCTTTTCGTCATAAGCAACTCCTCCCTGTCGCACCCCCAGACGTGTTGGCAGGACGGGCCAGGTGTTTCGCCTGAGACTTCTCACCATTTTGATCCTGAAGCTGGAAATTCCGAACACCTGCATAGATGGAGGGCGGGTCGTTTTCAAATTGTGGCTCACGCGGGCTCTCCCTTCAACGCCGCACACATCCGTCTCAAACCTTCGCAGCATGTTCGAGGATGGAGGGCTGGCCGTTTTCAAAATGTTGCTCTCGCCTTTTCGCCGCGCAATTTCGTCTTACAAGTTTGCAGCAGTGTCAAGGACGGAGGGCGGGACGTTTTCAAAATGTTGCTCTCGTTCAAGCGCCGCGCACATTCGTCTTGCAAGGTTGCAACAGTTCTAGGATATAGGGTGGTTCCTGTTCAAAATGTGGCTCTGACCACAGCGCTGGTCAAATTCTTGTTAACGCATTGCAGCAGTTCCAAGTCTTCGTACGGTTGAAGTTCCAGGAGTGATTTTGTGGCACGGTTTAGGATTGTCTGGAAACGCCAGTCACGCTGGTTCGCTGTGTCGAAGTTCGACGAATGGTGCTATGGCGCGGCTCAGGAATTTTCAAGGCGCATCAGTCACGTTTGGTCTTGGCACTGAAGTCCCAGGAGGGTGTTTTGGCACGATTCGGGATTCACGATTCTATTATGGTTTTCTTCCACTGGGCATTTCCCGTAATGAAGATGTTTAGTGTAAGAAACTATGCTAGAGAACTTTCAGAGAGGATTTATTGTAATAGCGTTGATGCGTCTTGGGCTTACACTGCTCTTCGTCGTCGTCCTCCTCCTCATTATCCTCCATTCTTGCTCCGGTCCGGGCGATTCGCTGGGGACTTTTTCAGAATCTATGATCTTGAAATTTGAAATGTACAAACTTTTCACTGATGGAGGGCGGCCCGCTTTCAACATGTGTTTCTCGCCCCAACGCCGCGCACATTGACTTTAAAACATTGCAGGAGTTCCCTCGAATGGAGGGCGGCCCGCTTTCAAAATGTGGCCCTCGCCTCAGCGCCGCGCACATTCGTCTTTAGCGTTTGCAAGAGTTTCACGGATGGATGGCGGTCTGTTTTCAGACATATGGCTGTAGCCTTAGTGCCGCGCACAATCGCTTAAACAAAAATACAAGAGTTTAACGGATTGAGGGCGTCTCATTTCCATGCTGTGGCTCTCTTTCAAGCGCCGCGCACATTCGCTCTAAAAGCTTCCACGAGTTCCACGGATGGAGGACGGTCCGTTTTCAAGATGTGGCTCTCGCCGTAGCGCTGCGCACATTCGATTATACAATTTTTCCAAAGTGTCAAGGACTCTTATGGCACGTCCCATAAATGGTGTTTTGGTGGGATATCGGAATGCTTGGACGCAACAGTCACGTTGATTCGCGGTGTCGAAGTCCCAGGAAGGTGTTTTGGCATGCTTCAGGATCTTCAACACGTAACAGTAACGGTGATTCGCGGCTTTGAAGTCCCAGGAATGGCGTTCTGGCGCAGTTCCCGATTTTCAAACGGTTGTCTTCCAATGAGGCATTTCCCCTCAGTGAAACCTTATCCGTGTAGGAGCCTATTTAGATGGAACTTGGAGGGAGGGTTATTGCAATATCCTTGATGAGTCTTGGGTTTACATTGGTCCTCGTTCTCCTCCTCGTTCTCCTCCTCGTTCTCCTCCTCACCCTTCTCCTCCTCCTCCTTCTCCTCCTCCTCCTCCTCCTCCTCCTCCTCCTCCTCCTCCCCCTCCCCGTTCCCTTACCCCTCCCTTCCGCGCAGGTCGGCTGGCCAGAGCGCCTGGTGCTGCCTTGACCAGGCCGGCGCTGGGATTCCCAACAGTCCCGGCGGGTTTCCCTCCCCGTCCCCCTCCGCTGGGTGATGCCAAACGTGTGGCCCAGGGTGAACGATGCAAGAAAACGGGTTCGATTGCGCGGACAGTGGCGCGTCAGATGCCTGCGCAAACTCGCGCGTGGTGTCCTTGTTTGGACGTGGTGTGCCGCGCTGGCGGCATGCGCAAGCCACCGCGGAAGCTCGCCGTGCCATCATGCGCAAGACCCTTTACTTTGATGCCGTGCCCAGTGCCCGGGCCCAGGGCTCCGCAGTGGGGCGGGCAGCCAGCGGCACCGCGTGGGCCGGGAGCACCTCTGGCGCCCCCCCCCACTCCCTCGGGGGTGGGGGGCGCTGGTCTGCTCTTCCCCCTGCTCCGTGTGGCCGTCGCCCTGGTGGCGCTCTGGTGAGGATGTCTTGGATATCCGTGGTCGAATTCCAGCCTCATCGGGCACAAGCCCGCCTAATCTCCCCAGCACCTGCTCAATCCGGATGAACTGGGCTCGATCTGGGGCTGGATCCAGCCTAATTCAGCTTGCTGGCCTACACCGGGCAGCCCTTAGTCGTTGCCCGTAGTCGTTGTTGCGAGTGTTGCCTCCTAACCTATGCGGCTGTCGCCCTGGTTTCTCTGGGTCCGTTGGCAGGTCGCGTCCGTCGAGCGGTCCAGTCGACAGCCCTGCTGGCTGGGCACGCTAGGAGGCTCGCCCTTGAGGGAAGCAGCGACGGAGAGGGGGGGCGACGCCCCCCTCCTCCGTCCACTTCTCTTGGGGTCGCCTCGTCCCTCAAGAATGCTTGTTGCACAGCCTGCCCAGGGCCAGCGTGACGGCGCGTAGGGCTCTATCGGCGCACCACATTGAGTGGCCCGGATCCATCCCAGTCGCGGACGATCTGTCATGCTGAGGACTCTTCGGGCTCTGTGGGGCGTACTGTTCTTGCCTATCTCAGTTTGGTTCGTGCCTGTTCCTCCCTTCTTCCACCAGAGCCGAAACGATACAACACTTTGCTCCAACAAAAGCTTCCGTGGGAAGTTTCACGGGGAAGTATGCACAAAAGCACGCAATGACTGCGTGACCTCATAGCACCAAAGTGGTATCACTCGGGCCCCGGGCCACCGACGATGCCCTCCAAGCGAAACTGAGATTACCCCATGGCCCGACACGTTCCCGACAGGGCATCTTGAGAGTCTTAGGCTGCCTTTGCGATGACCCGTCTGGTGAGCAGCGGGCGATGCCGAGACGGCCCCACGGCCAGAAGATGGTCCCGGGCACATCAAGGGCGACTCCAATTTGACCGAGCGACTCCTGCACAATCCAAACATGACGCGAGTGCGATCTGAAAACGACCCGACGACAACTTCAAGATGCACCCAGTATCGTTCGCAAGTCGACGCAGTGGGTGGTCCCGCGATCTGCATATCATGTGAAGTTGATCCCAAGATTACCCAACATGGCTTCAAGAGGCCCTGGCGAGGGGTCCGCGGTGACAGGATGGTGCGCGCATCGCCTGAAGATGGCATCAAGACGGCCGCACCACAGCAGGAACCCGTGAACTTATGAAGCCCAGCTTGCGTCCAGCCGATCCTAACATGGCGGGATCCGTCAAGGGTCCAGGATTTTGGATTACCGTATTTTTGTTGGGTGGGATTCTGACCTGCCTGAACCAAACTTATAATATTAAGAGGGGCTGAGCTCGGCGGTATCCCGCCCGACCCAGGAAGGAAGGAAGACTACCCTGCTAGGCTTCTACGGGGGCAAGGGGTTCGGAAGGCGCATTAGCGCCATCATAAAATTCAAAGAACTTTCGTTGGGCCGATGTAGCGAATGGGCAGACACGCCAATTTTAGTATTTTTTCTCAGCCCATCCCGCCACCATTAGAGGCCTCTTGGGAGCGCCGGAAGCTCGAAAAGGCTATAACGCGAGGAAAGATAGAACGACAAATTGGTCATGGATGACTTTTGCTTCTTGGGCCCTCTTGGGGGTCCTCTGGGAGTGCTCTTGGCGCTTCTTTGAGGCCCCTGGGGGCGTTTTGGGGCCAACTTGGACGTCTTGGAGCGCTCTTGGGCTGTCTTGGAGGTTTCTTGGGCGCTTCTTGGGCCCCTCTTGGCCCATCTTGGGCCCCCCTGGCCTCTGGAAAAATCACGCGAAGCAGCCCAGGAACGCGTGGCAGCGCCCATGATATTTGAGAATCTGAGGCCCCAGCGCCTGGAATGTTAGAATCCCCCAATCCTGAGTGCAGAGAGCAGAGAACACATGAGCCTGGGGCTAACTCCACTTCGTGCCTCGAGGCACGGTGGTGGATTTTCCGCCAGTGATTGAATTTCATACCTATGTTGTGTCACGGAATCGATGCGGCAGGTCGCTTGACCAGGAGGTTCGCCGTATATTTGCACCGTCCTAGCCGTTTATCCGCTTTGCCAGAGGGTTTTCTTGCGAACGTGGCCGAAATTTCTTCGTGCCTGGAGCGCCCCACAGTCGTGGGGACAGTATTTGTCCGCCCAAGCGGTCGGTTTTTTGATTACACAGGTGGCGGCAACGCCCCCGCCACCGGACAGAAACTGTCCGTAACCAGTTTTGCCCGATGACCTTGTGCACAGAGCGCGGAAAGTGGTCAGCGCGCGGAGTGAGGGGATCAAGCAAGACCGACGACAATACTGCTAAGGTCCTTATGGCCGGTTCTGCTGCCCATGGGCAGTGAACGTGTTGGGCGCAAGAGGCGGAAGGGCGGTGGGGAGCAAGGGGAGTGGCGGCTGTAATGCGAGGGCGAACATCTATCCTTGGCCCATCCCGCCACTGCGTACGTTCGGGAGGCCTCGTGCACATTTTGGGGAATCTTGGGGGGCTTCTTGGAGGTTTCCTTGGGGGGACTCTTGGGGGTCTTTGTGGATTGAGCGGGCTTAGGGCCTTTCGGTCCGTCTTGTGGGTCTTTTGGGGGTCTTGGGATTATGTTGAATGGGTAAGCTCCCAGCGGGGTGACAGTGTCATGTTCTTTTGGGATCATCTTCGGCCATCCTGGGGCTCTCGTGGGCTCTTCTTGTTCGATGCATCTTGGGCCTTCTATGGCTGGCCTTGGAGAGTTCTTGGGCCGTCTTGGACGTTTCTGCGACTGCTGCGGCGAAAATGGTCATCGCGCAAAGACCCTGTGGATTCAGCCTATTTCGGCCTCCTGGGCTGGCCCCCGGCCTGCAAGACGTCCCGCGCGACTCCCCCAAAGTGCCGCAGTTGGCCCGAGAGGTTTCCAGCGGGCCTAGGCGATCCAAAGATAGTCAAACTGGCGCGAAGATCGCCCCCGCTCAGGACCCCCGTCGGGACCCGTCCGTCCCCAGTGGGGAAGGGATCAAAGGGAAGGGGCTTCCTTTCGTCGCGACCATGGCCTCGGTCGATTCCACTCGGGCGGATGAGCTTGAGGAGCCCCAGGTGGCCGCCAGGGTGGGAAAGCTTCGAATGGAGAAGCGCCTCGCAGGACCAGCCCGGACGACCGCCCTAGGAACCTCCTTCGCCCACACCCCGACGGGGTCGGCAGATTGAGAGCTCGTGTCTGAGTATCTGTGCCCGCGCACCTGAACGAGCCGCTGCCCATGCGGCCCGCGGAAGTCTTATGATTCTTTGGAAAGTGGCGAGGGTGCAAGGCATCTTGGACCCCACGTGCTCCCCTCTCGCGGAAGCGAATTCAGCAGTGGAGAAGCAGGAGGCGGAGATGTCGGACGTCTAGCTCTTCAACGCCTCCCTTCCCCTCCCGAGAACTGAGGGTCGAGAACTGAGGGCCCCGGCCGAGCACGTGCGCACCAGCACATGCGCACTGAGAGCCAATGGCTTCAGCCCCCCGCGCAGGCCCACATTCCCCGCCCTGGCGGTGCCGCGCGCTCGCCTTGCCTCTCCCCCATGCCCCTCCCCCCTCGCTCGCTCCCTCCTCCCTCCCCTTTCCCCCCTTCCCTCCCCCTGGCATCCGACGTCACCAACGCGTGCAGCATTTTTAACAACATCGGCGTCGTACCGACATACTATTACGAAGGCCTTATGGCCGATGCCGCTGACCCTGTAGGCAGCGACGACGAAGACAATGGAGGTAGAGGAGTCCAAGATGCCCTCAGATGGCTCGAAGACGGTGCCAGATGCCTGCAAGGTCGTCCGAAGACAGCTCAAGAGGCCTCCTCTAGGGTTCGGGAACGGCTCCAGAGAGTGCCAAGATAGGCAAAGAGCGCCCTCAAGTGGCCCGAGAGGGTTTCAAGACGGCGTCAAGAGAGGTCCAAAAGCGCCTGCAGAGGCTCAGGCTGTCAAGAGCGCCGCCAGAGGCTGCCAAGAGAGTCTAAAAATGGCGAAATGTCTCCAAGGGCCCTAAGATAGGCTGAAAGGGCCCGAAGACGGCCCCGGAGGGCCAACGGGGCCCCAGGAACCCCGCCCCGGGAGTTGCCCCTGGACCCCCCCCCCCGGCGGGGAAGGGATCAAAGGGCCCGCAGACGGCCCCGGAGGGCCAACGAACGGAGCCCCTGGACGCAGGAGGCTGAGAAGCGGGGTGCTGCGTATCCGAGGGGGGACCCCCCCCGGGAGTCAGGGGGGACCCCCCCCTGGGAGTGAGGGGGGAACCCCCCTCGGGGAGTTGCCCCGGGATCCCCCCCCCCGGCGGGGAAGAGATCAAGGGAAGGGGCTTCCCTTCGACTGAAGGACGACATTTTTCAATTTTTGTGTGGACTTGTGTAGGGAACCCTCGGAAAGCAGAAGATGTGACGACGCTGTGGGGAAGACGGAAAAGCTCTCCCACACGCCGACAGGGTCTGACAACATCGGCGTCGCACCGACATGCTATTACCATGTGTGCATCGCCCCTTCCCCCCCTTCCTCTCCCCCGAGGGGCGCCGCGAGCTCCGAGAAATCTTATGGCATGAGCTCCGTGGCGGGCGCTTACTGGCCATGGCGCTCGGGAAAGGATGCACTACAAGCTGGTGATACTACACGTTCGGGTCGGATGCGCGCCTCCGAGGAGTATGCACAGTACCAGCATGTCCTCTTGCGTCCCGCGAAACTCCACCAGAAGCCTGGACCTCCGACTTCTGCGGCCTACTCCGAGCCGCACCTACCCGTGAGAGGACCCGCGGCCCGATGCGGGGGAGCATCCACATTCGTGAGCAAAATGTGACGCCAGCATCTCAGGACCCCCTCTCTCCCTCCCTTCCTCCCTCCCCCTCCCCCCTCCCTCCTCCCTCCTTCCCTCCCTCCTTTTCCTCCTTCTGCTCCTTCTTCTCCTCCTCCTCCTCCTCCTCCTACTTCATTATCTCTCCTCCTCCTCCTCCTCCTCCTCCTCCTCCTCCTCCTCCTCCTCCTCCTCCTCCTCCTCCTCCTCCTCCTCTCTCCTCCCCCCCCTCCTCCTCCTCCTCCTCCTCCTCCTCCTCCCTCCCTCCTCCTCCTCCTCCTCCTCCTCCTCCTTCTCCTCCTCCCTCCCTCCCTCCTTCCCTCCCTCCCTTCCTCCCTCCTCCCTCCCTACATCCCTCGCTCCCGCTCTCTCTCCCTCCCTCCTTCCCTCCCTCTCCCCGTTCCTCCCCCACTCCCTCCCTCCCTCCGAGCCTGGGCAGGGCGTTGGCTGTCCTGGGGAAGCCCAGCTGAAGGGCGGCGCCCAGCCGTACGACTGCGACTCGGGCTACTCGCAGTTCCTCGAGGGCCTCGTCCACTGGTCCGAGGGCAGGACCACCTCCTCCTCCTCCTCCTCCTCCTCCTTGTCCTCCCTCTCCTCATCCTTCTCCTTCTCCTCCTCCTCCTCCTCCTCCTCCTCCTTCTCTTACTCCACCGTCCCTAAGATCCAGGCGTTTCAGGTTTGTCGCTACATGCGATTCTGCATCGTCTCGGCCCCTAGGAGCCCCACGGATCGACCTGGTTCGAAAAATGCCGCAGAAAGATGAGGTCCAGGGCTCCGGTCGTGTTTTTTTCGCGATGCTGCATTTTTTTGTGGCGTCGAACCCTCCTCTCCCTCTTCTATCGCTCTGGCACTCTTTGGGGCCCTCCTCGAGCGTCCTCGCAGCCACGGCTGCATTTCCGTCTAGGACGCACCCCGGGAGAGCTCCAGGCGTGCTCCTCCTCCTCCTCTTCCTCCTCTTCCTCCTCACTCTGGAGGAGTGGGATCGAGGATAGACGACAGGACTGCGCTGTGGTCCATGGGAGCAGAACACCTATACAGGTCCCCCTCCCCCTCCCGCGAGGGGGAGCAGCCTTAGAGGAGGGGTGGAGATCGCATGGCAGTTCGAATCCTCCTCCAGAGTCTCTGCTCCTCGCCCTCGTCCTGCTGAGCTTGCTGTGTGGCCTCCCGTGAAGCTTCCTGGTGCCTGCCCTTCCCCGCTTGCCAGCCGTGCGGGTATGCTGACTTTTGTGCAGGCTGCGTGCGAAGATGGCTCCCCCCTGAATGTGCAGTGCCGTTCCCAGGACGGCGATGGCACGTGACGTGTCCCGAGCCTGCATTCGGTTGTCCCGCCACGATGGATTTCGTGAGCTCCCTCCCGTCCTCGAAGGGGAGGGGCGCGGATAGAGATTCTGGCATTCTTGGGCCTTTCCTGGGCGCCCTCATCGCCACGGCTGGACTCCCTCTCTCTCCCTTTCTCGAGGGCCTTGTCAGGACGCGCCTCGCGGCAGGTCGGGGACCGAGATTTGAGGGAGGTGCGTCTATACCTCAGCTGTAGTGTTTTTTTGAACCTCAGTTGTTGTTTCGGCATCCGCGGGCCTTTGTCGGGCTCCAGCACAACATAATTAATGATCTGGGATGATCAGCTGGTACCATATCGGACAACAACGAATCACCTCGCCAGATGTCTGGGTATACAAACTGTCCTGACATCGGGCGTCGCGAAACAAGTCACGGCGTTTCTGTGGTCATTCTCTCAGGAGAATTGGATAGTTACCGTTTCATGGTTTCGGCCTCCATGGGGCCACCAACAAAACGACTCGCGACGAGAAGGATTGTGATCGAGGGCATGCCGTCAGTCATGTTCTGAAATGGACTGGGCTAGGGTTTGCGCGGATTCAGCCGCCGCCTGATTGAGCATCGTCGTCAGTGACATACGCGTGTAGGCAGAAGCGCGCAGCCATGTTGTGTTGTATGTCTTCAGACTTACGTTTTGGGGATTATCGGCATGCGACACAAGGCGAGGCGCAGAGACGAAGTCTTGAGTTGTGAATTCTTTACGCTTCGCGTATCCCCACCAGCCCATCTCACAGCAGCAACTCTCGCGAAGCATGCCGACAGTCGTGTTTTTCAGGCGTGTGTCCGCTTGGCCCCGCATATCTCCCCTGTTCCTCCTTCCTCCCGCCTCCTTGTACATCCTCCTTGTGGGGGGAGCGGGAGAAGGACGAGGCGAAGGAGGAGGGAGAGAAAGCGCTCCTCGTGGTTTGAGTCGTTTGGGGTTTCTCGTCCTGGTCTGAGTCGTTCGGGCCCTTCTTTCTGGTGTGAGTCGTTCGGGCTCTTCGTGGTGTGAGTCGTTCGGGCTCTTCGTTCTGGTGTGAGTCGTTCGGGCTTCTCGTGGTGTGAGTTGTTTGGGCCCCTCGGCCTGGTGTGAGTCGTTCGGGCCCCTCCTCCTGGTGTGACTCGTTCGGGCTCCTCGTGGTGTGAGTCGTTCGGGGCCTTCGTCGTGGTGTGAGTCGTTTGGGCTCCTCGTGGTGTGAGTCGTTCGGGCGCCTCGTCCTGGTGTGAGTCGTTCGGGCCCCTCTTCTGGTGTGAGTCGTTCGGGCTCTTCGTGGTGTGAGTCGTTCGGGCCCCTCGTCCTGGTGTGAGTCGTTCGGGCCCCTCGTGGCGTGAGGCGTTCGGGCACCTCGTCCCCTTTTGGGGCATCTTGGGGGCGTCTTGGCGGCCCCAGGGGCTTCTAGGAGCGTCTTGGGTGCCTTGGGGGAGCCTCTTCGGGCCTCTTGGGAGCCTCTTGGAGGCCGTTTGGGGCGTTGTGGGGGCCTCTTGGCGGCCCCAGGGGCTTCCAGGAACGTCTTGGGTGCCTCGGGGGAGCCTCTTGGGGCCTCTTGGGGGCCTCTTGGGGGCATCTTGGGGGCCTCTTGGAGGCCTCTTGGGGGCCTCCTGGGGGCCTCTTGGGGCCATCATGGGGCCTCTTGGTGCCTCCTGGGCGCTTCTTGGGGTCATCTTGGAGGAGATCGATCAAAGAAGAGGGGAGCTTTAATGAGCGCTGCCCCCTCACGCCCAAAGGGCGGTTGAGAACAGAGAGAGCTCTCTAAACCACTCACGCCCAAAGGGCTGGTCCAGAGTATGCTCCACAGTAGCGCTGCGGACAAGAGCATCGTGCTGGTATAGTCGATTGCCAACCCATTCCAGGAGAACGCCGAGATACTCTCCCTCTTCAGCCACCTCTGGCTGCTGAGTGATGCGAGTAGCGTAATCTTTCTTCGGCGCAGCCGTTACGACATGAAGCGCTCCGCTCCGATAGGCGGTGTCCAGACTATCTGGGCTAACGTGCGGGCTAGCAATGCGAATGTCTCGACAGCCTGCGCTAAGCGCATTATCCTGGATGCCCATGTGGGACAATACGCGCGTACTTATCATCCACAACATGCGATGCTTGTCAGTTGCGAAGTCGCCGTCGGAATCTACGCGCCAACTAGCATCCCTGTCAGTGTACGTGTGCATGTTGCACACGATGGTAGCACTACCGAGATTGTCGTCGTGAACCTTCAGACGCACCACATCTTCGTTCCGAACAGACCCCGTCCGCAATTCGCAAAGCAACTTGCCCTTCGCAGCATGCAGCAAGGCCGGCACGATCTCGGACTCGAAGTTGAACCTGGTCTTGCGAGCGACGTTGCTGGGCCCCAAGCCACAACAGTCCACGGACATGTGCACGGCGAACTTCACCAATCGGGCGCAACTGCACCCCCGAGCTACGATATCTGCGGGCGCGAAAACCGTGTCACCGCAAGCTTTCCAGGAAGTGCTGGGCCGCTCGGGAGGGGGAGGCTCTTTCGTACCTAACTGTGCGACGAGTTTCCTCATGCAGTTCAACTCTCCGTAGCCATCCTGCCTCGGCCTCTTGGCAAAGTGAGCGAACTTCTGCGTGAGGCCCTCCTCCGCGAACTCTATGGCTCTCACGGCGTTCAATTTGATTGCGCGAACTAGATGTGGCGGTAGACAATCCGCAATGTCTGCTGGGCGACGACGATATGGCGACGCTCGGTCGTTGCCACAAGAAACAGGAATGACAACCTCCTCCTCGGCACGTACTGCCACCCAAAACTTCAACAAGTGCTTGCCAGGCAATGCACTGTGGATGACGTCAGCCTCGACACGCGGTAACCATGCACCACGAACTGCGAGAATGACACACGGAGTCTCTACTGCATCTGGAAATTGGCAGGCGGCACGACCCTTGATCAAACACTTCGACCCGTTCCGAGCCGGATGAGCGCAGACGGTTCCATTCGATTCCACGGACGATCGTGCGCATGTAGCTTGCCACGCGCCTGCGCGCGCGCGGAGAGGGCCTGGGCGCCCTGTCGCCTGCGGGCGACCGCGCGGGTTAGCCCCCGCAAAAGCCAAAAAGGGCATGTCCACACGCCGGGTAAAGCCTAAAAGGGCTTTCGTCTGCCTGATCCTTCCCTCCCGCTTTCCTCCTTCTTCTTTCATCGAAGTCAGAACCCCCGCCCCCTATGACGTCCCCCGTTGGCCTGGGTGGTCTACTCAGGTCGCGGGGGGGGATAGGGGGGGGGTCGTTGCCACGGCCGGTGCCTCGTTTTCATGACGGGGAGGGGGGGGTGCACCGTTCCCTCGGATGGGCACACCCCCCCCCTCCAAGGGCCTCCGAGCCTCTCCGTCCTTTTCTTCTCCCTTATCCTCCCCCCCCCTCGCGGTTTTCGAAGCCTTTGGCGTCTCCGCCCACCACCCTTGGGAGTATCCTAATGGCCTCTGGCCCACTCCGCCGCCGTGCTGTGCCGGTGGACAAGAGGCGCATGGGGTAGACGAGATGGTTAAAGGGGGAGCCAGTGGCTTCACTCGGGCGTCTTGGAGCGCACGCGCGTAGTTGGGTTCTGCAGGGTTTCCTTGGGGGTTGTCTTTTTGTCAGTGTACACAAAGTGGGCAATGCTGTCGAATTCGAGACGTATAGTTCTCTCTTTTTGTATATGTCTGGGTCCCGAACGACTCACACCATGACGAGGGGCCCGAACGACCCACGCCACGAGGAGCCCGAACGACTCACACACAAGGATGGGCCCGAACGACTCACACCAGGACGACGGGCCCGAACGACTCACACCACGAGGAGCCCGAACGACTCACACACAAGGAGGAGCCCGAACGACTCACCCCAGGACGATGGGCCCGACAGACTCACACCACGAGGAGCCCGAACGACTCACACACAAGGAGAAGCCCGACGAACTCACGCCAGGACGAGGGGCCCGAACGACTCACACCACGAGCAGCCCGAACGCTTCACACACAAGGAGAGGCCCGAACGACTCACACCAGGACGAGGGGCCCGAACGACCACACACCACGGACCCGAACGACTCGAACGAGACTCGGGAGGCCGAACGACTCACACACAAGGAGGGGCCCGAACGACTCACACCAGGACGAGGGGCCCGAACGACTCACACCACGAGGAGCCCGAACGACTCACCCACAAGGAGGGGCCCGAACCACTCACGCCAGGACGACGGGCCCGAACGACTCACGCCACGAGGGGCCCGAACGACACACACAA